GGGCAATCGTCAGTACTAGGCAGGCGGTCTTCGATTGAAGACAAAATGAGAAAAACCAAGAAAGTACTTGATAAAAATAGCTGCGTAAACGCAAGCGAAACATAAGTGGAACCACCTATTGGTGTATATATGGTTCCACTTGTCTCCTATCCATTTCATTACTTCCTTTCGAAATGAATGTTCTCACCTTTTTTGTTTTGTTTTTGTGTCCGTGTGGAATTTTATTGTAAAAACAATCCCGAATTTCTGAATAAATTGAGATTTGTTCAATGTAAAATAAGGTCGTTCGATAGAAACAAGCTAAGAAAAAGTAAAATATGCCTTTCATTTCTTCCAGTAAGAGAGAGATCCTTTTAGAAATTTGTATGACATAGCAAAAAAGTTCGAGCTCCGATTATATTTATTATTAACCAGTTTCAATTATTTNTTTTTCTTTTTTAGTTGTTTCAGGGATTTCAAATCATTTTATATAGTAGACAATGGAATTCCGAACTAGTGAAATTCATCATGAAACATTGTCAATCACCTTTAAACAAACAACGAACAACTTTTTCTATATCTTGAATCATCTAAGTTTTCCACTTGTGCTTTCGAAATGTTGCTTCATCTCAACTTTCTTTTGACTGAAACTGATCATCAATTAACACTTTAATTTTTTTCAGTATCGATGGAAAGTCATAGTCAACCCAAATTTGAAATTCAGCAAAGATCAGATTCATCACCTGGTAAGAATGAATAGGCTTTCATATCACACGACAATCAGTTCAACATATTCATAAAATAAATAATGATAGAGACCATAACTAATTAATTTTTTTTTTCAAATGAATGTCTTGATGAATTGGAACCCAACAGGTACAGTTTGTCAAATCTAGGTAGCGACTTCGAAGTCTCGGCTTAGGACCTCCCCTCAGATGCGCGTTCGTTAGGAGACTGTATGAGAGAGAGAGAGAGATAGAATTCCCAAGTCTCTTCCTAGTTTTGACAAGCTGTGTGACAGTGTAGTTCCTCGTCGGTTTTTAAGAGAATTGCAGATACAAGGTCCGGCTATTAAATAGCGAGACTGGTTAGGAAAAAGGCTTTATTATAAAAATTATCCTGCATTCAAATGCTTACCATCAAATTTCTCCTCTCCCCTTGCCACATACCTCTCCATACGTTTTCCCATTGATCGAAGCAGTGCTGAAAGTTTTCTTTGGTGAAGGCTTTTAGGAACTCTGTCGTTTTTAACTTTACCGCTTCCATCGACTCAAGTCGGGTCCCTTTCAAAGCAGATTTTATCTTCGGAAACGAAAAAAGTCGCACGATGCTAAATTCTGGTGCAAAATCCACGAGTTGTTCTTCCACAACTCTGGGACTCTGACCCCCTGGAATCCATTCAGTCATCATGATACCGTTAATGTCGAAAAAACGATCAACATTGCCTTGCATTTTGATTTCCTTGCTCTCTTGGTCCCCACTGAAGCGCTTACACCACGAGGTAGAGAATTGTCCCCATAGGCATTTTGCTACAATTTATAGCACTCGGTCGAAGTTTTTTCAATTTGACGAGAAATTTGAGATTGATACTTTGCTCCTGTTTTTCGTCACACATGGTTTTCTGTATGAGAAAAAAAACACGTTTGTTTCAAACCGCTACTGCACAAATATTATAACAATGACGAAAACGTGTTTTGGTATGTGAATAGAGAAGATTTCCAGATACCCAAAGCACTACTCGTTTTTTCCTCATCCCTCTAGGCATGCAGTCTCACTATTTAATAGCCGGACCTCGTGAATAGCCTCATGTGAGTAATGCATCATTTCAATGAGGACCAAACACGGAACGGGAGCTGGAATATACTGAGCGGATAAAAATCTGAACTACAGCTGTCCGCTAGGACAAAACACATCCGTCTTTCAGGCGGAAGTACCTGGCAACAAACACAGTAGACCCTTCATTAGGGAACTGTCCACCCGAGAAAAGAACCGAAGAACTACTTCAATATAGTAGAGATCGGCTCAGAATAATTACAGGGTTAGATTAGATTAGATTAATATGGGGCTTCTGTGCTGAACAGCCACAACACTGCGACCTTTGCAGATCTATTGTGTGTGCCCTCATGTATTCTAGAGTTCCTTGTCTAGGCCCGTCCTTATAACTAGACTCCATAGGCCAGACCTCAAGTTCCCCATATATTGAGAGGGTTGTGATTTTTCCTCTCCTAATGTTGCAAACCTTATCCTTGACAGACCTTCGCAATAGCATAGTATGTGTACGGAGGTTTCCTCATCCTCTTGGCAAAGCCTGCATAGGGCTGTGTCTGCCAGTCCGATGTTGTTCATGTGTTTCTTGAGTCTACAGTGTCCCGTTAATAGCCCGACCAGAACTCTAGTTGATCGCCTATTCAGACTGAGTAGGTACTCCGTGAATTTTGGCGATGGCTCTTTAATGAACTCTTTGCCCTGTCTCATACCCGGCGCCTTATTTCACCATTTTTGAGACTGTTTTTTCTTCCAGTTGATGTTACAAGTTTTTCGCAGCGCTTTTGCTGTACCACAAAAGGGTTCTGGGCCAATGGGGCAGCGTCGTGCTCCTTCTCGTGCTAATGAATCAGCCTCTTCGTTGCCTTTGTATCCTGTGTAGCCTGGTACGCAGGCTAATGACAGTCTCTTTTGACTACCTAGTTCTTGTAGCTTTTCTAGGCAGTTCCAGACCAGTTTGGAATTGACCTGCATGGAGGTAATTGCTTTTATAGCTGCTTGGCTATCAGAGTATTTTGCAATAGTCTTTTCCTCAAACTCTTGCCTTAGTAACTCTTCTGCGCAGTGACGTATTGCTGCTGTTTCTGCCTGGAATATCGTCACTTTTTTACCTAAGCTTAGTGAGACTTTTGTCTTTGGTTTATTTATAATGATTCCTGCTCCTACACCTTCTTCAGTTTTTGAGCCGTCTGTGTAATCTCTGGCAATCTCTGCATTTATTGGAGGTCCTCCGTTCCATGCCTCTCTGCCTGTTATTTTGAAGTTTTTTCCAAAGCTATACTGGGGAAGCATCTCATCCGATGGCATTCCCATTATGGGGTCGTTTTCCAACTCTTTGTTTAGCTCGTTGTAACTCTTACCGTGCAAGGTTAACAGGGTTACTAACCGGTCATTGTCCGCTTATAGGCCACCTGAATAAAATGGGGCTATACAACGGATACCTCCGCTGCAGATTATGCAACGAAGGGGCAGAAACAGCTATACACATCTTATGCAAATGTGAGGCACTGAATCACAGGAGGCAGGCAATATAAGGACGGACAAAATTACGCCCAGAAGAATATGACGAACATCCAACACGGAACCTGTACAAACTAATACAGGGAACGAGACTGATGGAATGGGTGTCTTGAGAAGATGGGAGAATAAACGCAATAAGCCCAAGAGACTGCAGTGTTTTCTGGAGACTTGGACTAAATGGAAAAGTCATACAGCTCCCAAGAAAAAAAAATTGTCACTAAATTAAATATTGTGGAGATAGGTAGGAAGTCTTGCAATGGTTTTCTCTGTTCTTCGTTCGAGGTTATCTTCAGTTAATTGGTGTACCATTTAACTTTGTATGGATGATACCTATTCCTCTTCAAAAGTCTCAACACAGTAGAAGGAGACACCTTACAAACATTCGCGACGGAATAAGTAGACTGTTCAGGAATGGACGGATGACCTGGGGACTTTTTCTACAGATAGGACGATTCGGAAAACGTCTATTGAAAATCCTTTCGGTCTCGTGAAAGTTAGCGCCGTATTCTAAATGAAAATCTCTTTAATTTTTTCTTCCAATACACGAGAATTGACCATTTTAGAAATTGTTGACGTTGTACCTTTCTACTAGTAAAACCGAAAATTAAATGAGAATATTCAAACTGAACAATCATGTTCATTGTCGTACTGACATTTTTTGACATTTCCATAAACAAAAAATAACTAAGCAAACCTTATTGGGTTGTTGGAATTGCCATATGGCAGATAAAAAGGAATATATTCAGAAATATCGATATTAATATGTTCGTCTTCAGGAAATTATTAAATGTTCCGCCATTTTGTAGTAGGTTAAGAAATTTACTTCATATTCTAGGGTTGTGAAGTATTCGTAAGGAGTTTCAAAATGATGTGTCATAAGACCCCCCTTTCCTTTAATATTTTTTTCAAGATGGCGCCCAGTCGCCATCTTGAAAGTTTCTTCTGTCAAGTTCACTTCTGAATAAGGTATTACTGCTTTTATTTCATTATCCCAAATTTCAATTTTTTCAGTTGACCAGTTCAAAAAATAAAAGGGGGAGGGGGAGACATTGAAGAAATGCACTGTATATTCGAATCGAATACATGTTTTCATGTACCATTCATGATTGAAAACAATTGATTTGATTATCGTTTCGTGAGAAATGCATACACATACTTTTTTCAGGAATAGTTAATGTTCTAGAAGCAATTATCACACTTTTAACCAATTTCCTTGGATTTCTGGACGGACGATCAACAATAGAGGATCTAGTTTCTGCCATTCAGAATTTATTTTTCACCGTGCAGAAAATGATTAATGTGGAGTGGTTTGTGAGACAAATCCCGTTCGTTGGGTCGTATCTTGGGCCAATGGTCGGAGGAGTCGGTACGATACTAGAAGATAGTGGAATGCTTGGTGGTTTGATTTCCCAAGTTTTGGTAGGCCCAAGTGAGTAACCTGTGAGTTTGTTATATTGGAAATTCGGATATCATTGATCAAGTCATAGGTATATACATACACTCAACCATTCTTGAAAGCCACAATCACAAAACGATTATGTATTTACCTTTTGGGCTAGATCATTCAATCATTTATTGGTTTTCCTTTTTTCGCAAACCCTACATCTTTCCAAATCGGGACGTTCAATTTTCATAATAATTAGCTTCGTTAATCATCTATTTTGCAATAAAAGGAGAGTAAGTAACATTTGATGTATTCTGGTTATTTCCAAGTGTCCCTTCACCGAAAACTACTGAATATTTGTATCTTCTGAGGGTTAATGGTCCCAGTGGAAAAGTAATTGAAGAATACATGAAATTTACAGAAGATTACAGAAATTCCATGCTCTGGCATGTCCAATATTACAAAAAAAAATGTGACTAATTAGCAATATGTCATTCGTCAATATTTTTGAGCCTGTTGGTTTGTTTGTTTACCAAAAACACAATCAACATAGAGGGAATGGGGAATCCAAGACTTTCGATCGTGTTTGTAGTTAGAGATCTTATAGTAGACTTGAACCCAGGTTTGTGTTTAATAAACCCTAGAAAATACAAATAAAACAGAACAGTGTCAGATGCTACAAATGCAATACGCATATATATACAGACGTCTCAAAAGCCACAGAAGGCTCAGAATGTGGGGTGTACTCCAGATCACTAAGTCTAGGGACTAAGTGGGGAATGGGAAAAAATACCAGCGTGGTTCAAACAGAACTGGCTGGTATCTCAATCGTCACAAAAGAAATAACCAGAAACAAGGAAAGAAATTTCTGGACAACGTATTACCTCAGAGCTGGTAGAGTGCCACCAAGATTTAGCAAAAGCCTCGGTGGATAATAACAATATCCTGAGGTGGGTGAAAGGGCACGACAGAAGTGAAGGTAATCGCATTGCCGACTATTTAGCCAAAGAAGCGGCTGGACTGAGAATTTTAGGACCCAGTGACAACTACGGTCTGATGACTTCGACAATTGCGATAGATAGATAGATTTATTGATCCTTTTTGCTACATAATGTGTAGATGGGATAAGTCATAATTGTAGTTAAGTTATAAACACGTATACATATAAACATAGAAAGGTATAAACAAACATATAAATAAAATTCTAGGTCTAGATAGAATGCAAGTAAACTAGGTTTCACAATGAAAATAATTTTGTCTAGCCATCATATAAAATCCTATGTAATAATATTATTTTCGTTTTTGAGTGTGTTTTATCGAATTTCGGTAACCACATCATTTTATTTTATTTTATCTTAATTTTTTTACTTATGATGCACTGTTTGAAAACTTTGGTGTAGTAATGAATATCATTGGAGTTTTCTCCCAACACCAAATCGTTATTTTCAACACCTCGACACGTGTTTCGGTCACCAAGTAATCATCTTCAAAGAGGAAGATTAAAACTAGAAACTGATGCGAGCTATCCCTATTTATGCTATATAGGTATCCCATACAGGTGAACCATCCACCCATACAGGTATACCAACCTAAATTGATTTCACAATTTTGCCTTATCTATTATTTTACAATATATGTTTATATAAAACAATTTTCAGATATATAAAAATTAATTTCACAATATTGCCTATCCAAATTTATTTTTGCAATGTGTCCTTATGTAGTAATCAGTAAACCCAACAACATTATTTCATTTTATTTCAACAAGCTATATAGTATGCTCTTTGGTATAGGTCCGTCATCGTTATTCATAATATTATTGTGTTTACTTATTTCTACACTCTCATAGGCATTTAGTTGCCTGTTGTTGTTAACTTGTCTAACTAATCTTAATGAACTAAAGTCTATGGAATGGTTTTGTTGCAAAATATGATGGGCGACTGCTGATTTTTCAAGTCTTCCATATTTCAAGTGTGCTATGTGTTCCTTATATCTTACTTCAACAGATCTCTTTGTCTGTCCATAATATTTTGCATCGTAATCTTTACATTCAATTCCGTAAATTCCACCTGTATTGGTGGTACGCCTGGATGGTTTACCTGTATGGGATACCTATATAGCATAAATGGGGATAGCTCGCATTAGTTTCTAGTTTTAATCTTCCTCTTTGAAGATGATCACTTGGTGATCGAAACACGTGTCGAGGTGTTAAAAATAACGATTTGGTGTTGGGAAAAAACTCCAGTAATATTTATCTCAATTGTTGCAATAAACTTAAAAGCGATAACATTTTTATAGAGAATAGAGAGACCTTTCAAGCGATATATCACAAATCTGTACTTCCTATTTGAAAAATTTAGGGTTGTACCTGTAATTCGAGGGGGGTTGAAGGTAGGGGTGGCATTTTTACGCTGAATTATAATTTACATTTGACGTGTTTCGGGATTTTGTTAAAATATGTACAGTAACCGAAATCATGAATTTATTCCATTTGGCTTTTGCACACTGTATGTGAAAAGGTTAGTTAGTATGTGGTTAGGGGCCATTCAAGTATTACGTAAGCAGATTTATTACAATTATTTACTCCCCCACATCTCCCTTGTCAGCAAAAGTAATCAAAACTCTTACCCCCTCCCCTCATGCTTACGTAAACATTTGTCAATCAATGTAATGTTTTTTCAATATTATAATCATAACGTTATAATTATAATTTGGAAAATAAGAAAATAGATTCTGGATAAAGATTATATTCTACTGATATTCAACATAGAGTAAAGGACAAAAATATTATATCTTACTAACATAACAAGCTTATTTTAATTTTTTGGTACACATATTAAATTCAAATTAACAGTATTCAGTCCATGAAACCCGAATCAATGATTCTGAGTTTTCGATGACATTGGATTGCTTCGATTGCTGCTCAGTGTGAGTCTGCTCGCTTTCATCCGATTTTAGAATGTCTACATCGTTCTCATCGAGCGATTCGACATCATGATGCTCTGAATTTTGAATAATGCACATCAGTTCATTAGCACGATGAGCAGCGACTCTTACAGGTCTAACTTTCCTATCAGTGTGCGTGTTTACTTTTTTAGGGTATTAATTTATGACGCTCATTGATTACCCATTGATTACCCAATATGATTACCCAATCATATTCCATGTGCATTAAAAGAGGTGCCTGCTTATTTGCCGCAGTTACGCCAATAGGGACTCGAGCTTTATCATCTTGGAATATGAAAAATACTTGATCTGGTCCAAGTATGGATGCTATGTTCTCTGAATAATGGATTGATGTTTCAGCGATTTGCTTTCAAGTGGCCCTTCTGGTGATTATTTTGAGCCCAAATGAGCTCAACAGGGACTGCCATACATGTCTACGTCCCTCTGCAGAATAAGATTTTCTGGCAATCAAACGAAGATATGTCCCACTGCGACTAATGTCAAATCTTGTGATTCATTGCCGGGTTTTATTTCATCTTCTTCCTGTTTTTTAATATTTGAAGCTGGTTAAATCAAATATCTTTGAACGAGCAAGTCGTTCCGGTCACAAAATAGAGGGCGTTAGTTTTCTGTATATATGTATAAAACTAACATCCTGTATTTTATGAACAATTGACGGAATCAATCATAAGAAATAAATCTATATATTGAATAATACCTCTATACTTTGAGATAGGCCATAATATTTTATAATCAGTAAAGAGAAACTTTTTGGCGATTTCTAATATTTCCAGTAGTCATAGGTACCTGAAATGATTTCGTCACTCACCTTTGAAAAAAAATGTAGTAGATTGGATTTATTCTTAGTCGCCGCTTGCAATTCTTCTTCGATTCTCTTAGAAACAATAATATCTAGTTTCCTGTCGGATTTTGCTTGTGATTTGTAATTTTGCGAAGTAAAAGATTTTTTAAAACTTTCAAACAATTTTTGGTATAACTTGGATACGTCTATTTTAAACGACATCTTATTTAAACATTAAACTTTGGCTAATCGAATAAATGATAACACAAATGTTAACTTGCTTTACTATGTTTACAATACGTCTACTCGCTAGAGTATCCAAAAGAAACAATACACTGATAAAGGAAATTTAGACAAGTCAACAGCGCGCGTTAATTCCCCTACTTGGTTCTAAAGCGAGTGCCTAAACATATACATTATTTGCGGGGATCTCCCAAAATACGTTTCGTTTTCAAGCAAAGACAATGTGAGGGTTGCCATTCGTGTAAAAAGTAAATAACCACCGATGGCGTAATCATCATCTAGACTCCCCTACCCCCCATGTCATCCAAAATAAGCAAAGCAAAGACCCCCGTCCCCCCATAGTGCTCACGTAGTACTTGAACGGCCCCTTATTAAAAAACCATGGAACCAAAGCGTTGAAATGAAAGTCGGTATTACCACGGCTCCTGAAATCCGCGATAACCCAACAACTTCCAGCACTGATATTTCCAAGAATACCTTTCATAATTATCCGCTTCATATTGAGCTTACGTGCATTTTTTGAATTATTGTTTTATTTTTCAGCATATCCCAAGTCAGTACAACCTCCACCTCGAACCCTACCAAAATCGGAAAATAATAACGGTGGTAGTGTATTCGGAGGATGGTTGGGTTAGGGTTAGTGATGTTTTTTGAAACCCATGCTTTAGCGTACTTGTCTTTTCTTTCCATTTTTTCCATTTGTTACCTATGTTGCATTCAGGAGGAATAAATACTACAAATACAATTGTTTTGTTTTCATTCCAGAACCAGCTGATCAGGTTAATTTCACATCGATCAATTCATATCAAAAACGTAAAATGACATCAATTGTTTGCATTCACATCTTGAATCGTGTTGTGCTAAGTTGTTTACATCCGTGAAACTTTATTCCATATATATACCACCTGTCAACATGTGTATGTGGTTCGCATGATTTCTGGGTCCCACTACTAACTCTACCCTCGCTTCCACCACCAATTCGCCGCTCCTTACCTCTAGGGACATTAATGTCAGCACAGAGCCGACGGACCCACAGTCGACGTTTGGGAGTAGACAGATTGAGAACTGGGACTAGACCTGGGATGTAGGCAGAATGAGACCCCGACGTCAAGTCACAAAACCTTTGAACCGAGTCAATATCTAAGGAGTAGGCAGTCTTACGTAGTTAGTCATACGTAATCATACCTTCTAGGACTTCACTGGCGTCTCAATCTGCCTACTTCTCAGGAAATGACTCCTCAGTGAAGTCATATCTTCTATGACTTCACTGACTTCTCAATCTGCCTTCTCCTCAGGTAGTGACTCCTCAGGTAGCCATACCTTCCGTGACTTCACTAAGGTATCGCTCTTGCTACTCCTCAGAAAGTGACTCCTCAGGTAGCCATACCTTTTATGACTTATATTCTTTTTTTAATTATTTTTTTTACTTGTTTCAGGGATTTCAAATCATTTTATATAGTAGACAATGGAAGTCCGAACTAGTGAAATTCATCACGAAACATTGTCAATCACCTTCAAACATACCTTATATTACTTCACTGACGTCTCAATCTACCTACTCCTCAGGTAGTCGTACCATCTATGACTACACTGAGGTCTCAATCCGCCTACTTCTCAGGTAATGACACCCTTTGAGGGTTTTCTGACTTGACGCTAGGGTCTCAATCTGTCTGCCTAGATTTTGAGATAGGCCGATTTGTATGGATATATGATTTAAGTTTAGCGATATAAATGTGAAGAACGTATTTGATCAAAACTGAAAAAAAAAGTTAATTCACGGACATAACGCTCGAAAAAGGGACTGCTTCTGAATTTTGGAATCGTCAGCGCGGTCCAGCGAAATGTGAAGATTGGCAACACTTGTTTGTCGATAACTATAGCCATAGGAAACATCCAATAATAAATTTTTAAATCCACTCCAAGTATGTGATTTTAATTAAAACGCCAGAAAATGATTCACGACGCCTACCAAATAATTTCGTTTAATTTCACACCAATATAAAAACCATACCAACAATACAAATAAAAATAAATGAATGTATAGATTAATTTCAGATTTATTCCACATAAAAATAAATGTTTTCTGTATAATAAAGAAGAAGTAGAATGCTCAGAAGAATGTTTTATCGAAAAACGACTATTCTTTTTGGAACAAACAAAATATTGTTCAATTTCAAGGACACTACAGTTATGAAGTTATGATATTATTCTGTTGATGAACAAAAAAAAAACAACGATAATTCATCAATTATTCTCGGATTTTTCAATGTGATTACTCCTGATGATGACAGTGATATTGACAGTATATTTTCCCAACCACTTTCGTATCCATCCAACATGAGAGTTGAGAAGAGAGTACTTTATCTGTCACCCAAGTATAACTCCTGAGTGCACATGGAAAATGGAGAGATTTCAACAATGCTTGAAAAAAATGTTGTAGGGTAATTATCAGTACTTCATTCTACAAGGTGTAACTAAATAAGTGTAAAACATTTAAGGTGGTGATTCCTCATCGAGAAAGATAGGATCCTTGATATGAAGAAATTTCATTGGAGCATCCCTTGTTGAGATACAGCCCCTTAAAGGGGGTACATAAAATTTGTATAACAATTTTTTTCACAAGCACTAAAAAGGTATCAATTAACCTGACGTTTTGTACTTCCAAAAAGACACTTAACCAGAAAGTTATTTGGTTTACCCCATGGTTGTAAGGGGTGGAAAACGTAACCCCCAAAATTTATTTTCAATGTAACAAACGCAGGATTGTGGTTGCCATCGAGAAGTACGAACACCACAGCTTGAGGAAGCAGTTCTTAATTTGATTGAAGAACAACCTACTACCAGTACTAGAAAGATTGCTTTCCAGCTAAATGTTGATCATATAACGGTATTTCGAATTTTAAAGGAACAACTCTTATACCCGTACCATCTGCAACGAGTATAGGCACTGTTACCGCGAGACTTTCCGAACCATCTTGAATTTTGCAATTGGCTGCTGGAAATGATTAGAAGAATTGTGACTTTCTGAAGACGATAGAATTCACAGACGAATGTAGTTTTTCTCGAGACGAGATTATTAATTATCATAATTACCACATATGGGCTGATGAAAACCCTCACTCTATTGCCGAAACTAACCGTCAAAAACAGTTTTCTCTTAACGTGTGGCTCAGAGTTATTGGGCCTCATTTTCTACCTTCTCGATTGAATGGTGAGGCATACGTTCAATTTTTAAGAGAAGTGCATTCAGTACTGCTGGAGGAAATTCCTATGGGCGTCAGAAGGTATATGTTTTTATGCATGGGGCTAAAATGGGCTCCCGCCCATTTTAGTCAAGTAGCACGTCAGCATTCAACTGAAACATATGCAAATCAGTGGATAAGTCGAGGAGGACCACAGAACTGGCCCGCTCGATCCCCGGATCTCATTCCTCTTGATTTCTCTTTTTGGGGCCATTTACAGCATTTGGTTTATCGTATTCCTGTTCGCGATGTAGAGGACTTAAGAAACTACATCATCGATGCGTGCAGGGTAATCAGAGAGACTCCAGGAATATTTGAGCGAATACGTGGCTCAATGCGCCGACGTCTAGACGCGTGCGTGATGTCTGAAGGTAGACATATCGAACATTTACTATGATTTCTACATGTTGTGTGTTTTGTTATTAATAAATTAGTTTTGTTCATTACCCTTTAATCGTTTAATGCAGGTACTAACTACAAAATAACAATAAATCTAGTTCGCATTTATGACGATGTATCCCTGTAGTTGTTGTAAAATAATTTTTTGCTGCGAACTGGTTTATTTTGGGCAAAAACCCTAGCGACAGTTTTTGTTTAGAATGAAACAGGCTATCGGAAATAAATGTTTAAATGGTAAAGAAATAATAAGACAAAAACTTACATTGGAAATAAATTTTAGGGGTTGCGTTTTCAACCCCTTACAACCATTGGGTAAACCAAATAAATTACTGGCTAAGTGTCTTTTTGGTAGTACAAAACGTCAGGTTAATTTCAATATTGTAACTTTTTCAGTGCTTGTGAAAAAAATTGTTACCCCCCTTTAAAGGGCTGTATGGATGCTCCAATGAAGTTTCTTTATATGTAAGATCTTATCATTTTTTCGGTGAGGAATCACCTCCTTAAATGTTTCACACTTATTCAGTTACACCCTGTATTATTAATTGAAATTGAAAATCAAAGTCATCCCAAGTATGCAATTTCAATTCATGACTTCACTTCATTGTTCAGGCTATAAATTGACGTTCACAAATCAAGATGAAACTTTGAAATCAGATATGAAAAGTATAAAAGTAAATCTCAATGAAATAGTATTGTGAACCGGTATTTTGTTTCAGGTTATCGATGATAACATATAAATCAAGTGGTGTGACGTCAGAAAACCGAAAATAATTCTCGGAAGATAGCTGACTCGCGACTTCATTACATTATTGTGAAAATCAAAAAGTTCCTGCTCTTATTGAATATAATAAAAGTCATCGAACTATTGAATCTGTATTTCATTATTTCATTTCACAAATGCACTTAAATACCAATACACCAAAAATTTCCACCTATGATGTCATTCATTAGTTCATAGACCGGTTTCGGTGTACCGGGCATGGTCTTTTCAGAACGGTGTGAACCGTCTATCACAACCAAACAAATATGGTTCCAGCTAGTCATTCAATGGGATATCCACTGTGCAACCTACAGATAGAGCTAGGAAACAACTCCACAAACACATACTGGGAGTCGAAATAATGATTAATACTCCAGAGAGGTGCATATGACATGCTCTAGGTTCAGGTGAAAGCACCTTACCCCTTGCATCTCATGTAGACCTACGACTTTACTTCAACTCTCTGCACGACATTAGCTGGGTTGGTTGTTGTTTTTTAGTTGGGTATCTACCACACGTACCTACAAAGCCGTAGGTCTATATGAGAGGCAAGGGGTAAGGTGTTCTCACCTGAACCTGGAGCATGTCATATGCATATGGGGTTGCCATTAGATTGGTAGGGCTGTTACAAAGAAGACTCTCTGTTATCTCTCAAGCCTTCGGTTGATTTATTAACTTCTTCAAGACAATAAAGGGAGGATAATGAAGAAACTGAAACAAAACGAACATAAATAAGAAGCATAATTATTATGCTTCTGTTGTGCATTTGCGTTGTTTTTGCAACCAAGTACTGCCTAATCTTGCACTTGGTTATACCGTACTGATGACAGCTGATGAGCTAGAAACACGTTTCTGCTGTTTGTATATTTTTTGAGTGCTTCGTCCATGATTTTTCCCATCAGGTGAAAACACCTCACCCTCTCCTGTGAACCAACGACTTTTTTGTTGCGTGGGCAGCGCAGAAAGCTGCCTGCGCAACGTCTTCCATTTGGAAGATTCGCCGAAAGTAATATCCTATATACAGTGTCATCCCCAAAGTATGCACCATATGGGAAACTTCTTTGTTAAGGGTTTTTCGACAAAAAGTTGTTCTTTATAAAAGTTTGTGCATCCCCTAAAACTAAACATGTACCAACAACATACAGTAAAACACATGTAATATACGAGGAGGTTCCAATATTTGTTTTTGAGACGAGAGTAAAGTACTCTTATTTTGAAAAATCTCGGAGAATGTTATTTAGAAAAGTTGTTCAACATTGAAAAATACATCTAGATTTGGAGTAATGGCCATCGAAGTGAAGTTTTAATTTTTTACTCATTTTTTTTAATGAGGACTACGAAAAGGAAAATTTGCTAAAACGATAAATAGACAGCATCCATCTATTTATCGTTATAGCAAAATTTTCTTTTCGTAGTCCACATGTAAAAAAATAGATAAAAAAACTACACTCAGATGGCCATGACTTCAAATCTAGATGTATTTTTCAATGCTGAAAAACTTTTGTAAATAACATTTCTCGAGATTTTTCAAAATAAGAGTACTTTACTCCAGTCTCAAAATCAAATATTTGAAGGCTCCTCGTATATTACGTGTTTTCTACTGTATTTTGTTGGTGCATGTTCAGTTCGAAAAGATGCACAAATTATTATCAAGAATAACATTTTGTCGAAAAACCCTTAATAAATAAGTTTCCCATATGGTGCATACTTTGGGAATGACACTGTATGAAAAGCTGAAATTGATTTCATTTGGTCGGACGACCACCGATAGACCGGTTTCGGAGTAGTAGCTCCTCGTCAGTACAGGGAGGGTAATTTCAGACGGAGTGAACCGTATGAATATCCCAAACAAACAAAATTGATTTCAACTACTTAGGATACACTACAAACACACACTTTTGTCTATTTTCCACTATATTTCTTTATTGTTGACCGGTTTCGGCTATTACACGATTTTCAAAACTAACTGATTACATTTAAATCTGAGTAATTTACCTAAATTTCCGTTGAATGGAAATGGAAATAAACAGGTCAAAGAAAAATCCCAATTCTATTGTCCTCAACGAACAACTTGATTTAAATAATAGTCCTCTCCTGAACCTATAATCCAGATCCCAAAAACCTACATTATATTGAAAGCTTTGTTATGTTCATGGATTTTACAGATATATGAAACGCAGGTACCGGGTATCAGGTATATCAGGTATATCAAATCATTTATGATAGAATAAGAAACATAGGAATAAATTACTCAGATTCAAATGTAATCAGTTACTTTTGAAAATGGTGTAATAGCTGAAACCGGTCAACAATAAAGAAATATATTGGAAAATAGACAAAAGTGTGTGTTTGTAGTGTATACTCAGTGAACATGAATTTCCACAAAATAAACAAGTCGTCAATCGAAGAAATGATTTCAACTAGTCATGAGTTCTATCTGCAGTTGATTCAGTAGAACATACCACTGTGAAACCTGCAGACAAAGTCCAGGAGCAACTCCACAAACACATAGTCTGGGGTGGGAATCATAATAATAAACATATTCCGGAAAGGGGCATATGACATACTGAAGTTCAAGTGAAAATATATAATAAAAGTGAATGTACTCTGCAGGGTAGCTTGTAATATCTTCCAAAGCACGTTGAACGTTGTCCACAGTTAGTGCCTGAGGGAGCAGATGTCTGTCAACCCCAGCAAAACTGTGTTAACCCCCTTCACCAAGAGAAGTAAATTGGACGATCTAACGCCACTTTCCCTCATCGGTGAGGTCATTCCATTTGGAACGGAGGTGAAATACGTTGGTATTGTCCTTGATAAAAAAACTCACCTGAACGCTCACTTGGAAACAGTTTTACACAAAGCCAGAGTCCCTCTATGGACATGTAGAAGGATTTGTGGTAAAACTTGGGGTTTAGATCCCAAACAAATCCATTGGATTAATGTGATGATTGTCAGACTAATGATCACTTACGGTGCAGTTACAGTAAAAGTTTCTTTGACTATTAAAAAATTATAAAGACAAAATCTTAATTGAACTGTATCTGACTGATTTTGACAGATAAAATTTTATCATGTTATATACTGGCCAAGTCGTCACACTTTTTCATTATATATTTTGTTCCAAATGTAGTGGAGGTGATGGTTGGGAAAACGATTGAATGGCTTACTGAAAAACGGTATAATTTCGAATTGAAGTGATGATTTGAGGGCTCGTTGGCAAGTTCTTGATGTGCAGGTTTGATAACAAATTGACTTCAAAAAGAAATGCCTTATAAAGTTATTATTGGCTTCAAGGTTTTGCCGTGGTCTTCTTCGGTTATATTCTCCAAAAGTTTTAACTATAACTGCAGCAGTGATCTTCGGTGGCTTGGTCAAAGTACTCTTCTTGACGTGTCAACTGATGACCGCCACTGAAAATGACTACCACAGTTGCAGTTGCAACGTTTGAAAATTAGAACTAAAGGAGGCCACGGCAAAAACCTGGTGTTACGTCCGACTCATAAAAACATTGACGCCAGCTGTGGAAGCTGGCGTCAATGCCTAATAAACTTTCGAAAGATAGGAAATCACGTTTACTTTGAAATATAATTGTTACATTTCATACGATAGTATTGTTCAGTCTATGGAAGTGAAATGTTGATTATTTGATCACAGAATGTTGCTACAGTTGATGCTTCAAAACTCATGGACGATATTGTCCGTTGTAGTCTTGTGAGATTTCTTTTCTTGCACCTTGAGGATTTTCTTTTGCTTCACGGGCATTAGCTTCCTGCAATAATAATTGAATCAGTTTGTAAACTATGTCGTTGCAGCGATTCATCAGAAATGAACCGACTTGTTTTAAAGTATTTGATATTTTGATAAACTAGCAGTATATCAATCCAAGTTATATTCAACAATTCCAACATCAGTTATATCCAACAGTTTTATTGGGAAAGAAAGTTTTTGGCTTTCTACTACTCCATCTTGATACAAAAAAAGGATGAGGGAATCTTTCAAAGAAAGGAAGGAAGTAATCAATTTGAAAATAAGTAATTCTACACATGGATGTGTAGATTATGCAAAGAACTAACTTTCAGACACAAACTGAAAGAAATTCCTCTTGAAACAGCACAGCTACTTTCATATAAACATTGGATTACACGAAAGAAAAAGAGTTCTACTTCAAATGAATGGTAACAAATTGCACTCACAAGGAACTCTGCCATCCTCATGTGAATGATATCTGATTTTTATGCCACAACGAATATTTGAAATATAAACTGAATAGAGAAAAGTATCTTCTGTATAATTCAGTGTTCATATAGAAGTATTTGTTTCGAAAGAATTTTTTTCTTTCGTGTAATTCAATGTTTATATGAAAGTAGCTGTTTCAGGAGGACTTTTTTTCAGTTTGTGTCTGAAAGTTACTTCTTTGCATGGTTTACACATCCATGTATTTCCAAATTGATTACTTCCTTCCTTTGTTTGAAAGATTCCCTGATCCTTTTTCTGTATCAAAATGGAGTAGTAGAACGCCAAAAACTTTCTTTCCCAAAAATTAATCACTCCTAAAAATATAACCCCTTCAATTCATCCAACAGTTATTATGAAAACAATTGTCGTAATTTCACAATAGTTTTGGATATTTTCATCGTTCATTGAATTGAGAAGACTTTGAACGTGATCAAATTAATTATTTGTTTGGTACTACCACAATGAGAAGTGAATTTCAAGAAATGTGTGTATAGGTTAGGTTAGGTTAGGTTAAGTTAGGTTAGGTTAAGTTAGGTTAGGTAAGGTTAGATATTTGAAATTACTGATTATGCTTGTCTGATCATTTTTGTATATGTCGCTCCAGCTTCCTGAAAAAACGTTCCCCGCAAGTGGCCGTCGATGAAAAGAAGAATAAGTATTCGAACATTCCATCCAATTTTTACGATAATTTGAACAACAAATATCGTAACCGATATGGCGAACTCGACAAAGTGACAAAGGCACTCAACATCCGTTATTTTTCATTTCAGGATAAAAATCATTATGATTTATCGATCAATTCAGGAATATACAGGGTGCCTCAACATCCCGAAAACGGGATGTTCAATTTTTTTGTCAGCATCACGTCAATCAG